AAAATGTCTTCATCCGTAAGATTTGCTGCACTGAGTCAAGCTATTCTTCATAATCAGATTAGTTATACCTTCTGATTTTAGGTTTAACAAGGGAATTGGGTAGATAGAGCGATCTATGTCAGAAGCCCATAAAGGGCCTGAACCAGTGCCTTCTACTGGAATGAAGGAGTCCATCTATGCTGGCTCACATGCCAGTGGCATGCCCAGAATGCTCACCCCCACCCCAACCCTCCCACGACTTCACCCAAGACATTTACTCATTCCTGGGTAGATGTGCCAGACTGTTGACTGTCGACACTGCTCATTTCGTGGAGAAAAAGCAACTGAGGCAGGAGAGGCCTGCCCTGTGTCACCCCAGTCAGACACACAACAAGGAATTGAAACGATGGGCATGCAGAGCCTTCAGTGTCTGTCATTACCCAATGCCAGCCATCTACCCTTGAATTCACTGCAGGAGGCCACTGCTCAGCGAAGCCAATGCCATACAGGGCAGTTTGCCCTGCTGGAGGTTGTGACTGACGTGGAATTTGGGCTAAACTGCAGTTCCTGTTCTCAGTGTCTGCCCACTGCAGGACCACACTCTCTAAGAACAAACTCAGTAAAACAAATATGAACTTTTTGGAGCAACAATACCTCTCTATGGAAGTAAGACCTACATAAGCACACATACCCTTTGTGGCAAAGAAAAAATACCTCCTTCAAAAGCTTGCTTCCTGCGAAAGTTGTTTGTCTAAAAATTTAGACTGTTACCATTTGCAGCCTAGTACCCATCTGCTTTGGCTTATGCTGAAAAACACTGTAGCTCTGGAGATTTTTATCATTAACAATTTAAGTTTACTTTTAGGACTAGAAAACTAACTAGTATGGCTAGTATTAAGAGAAGGGTAGGAAAATTCTAGATTCCCCTGAAGTTAGCAACACATTTTTCCTGAGTATTAATACTATTTCTTTAAGGTTTGGATTTAAGGTCATTCATTTTATATCCATTCATTAAAGTCATTCACTGTGTGCACAATTCTTCCTTTGAAAGTTGACGTTTTCTAAAATATTATGTTGCCACAATTTGATTACAAACCAAGAGTCGCTTGCCATTTTAATTCACTTTTATGGTGGCAAATGACTAAGGATTTTGCCAAGGAATTTTAATTTGTAGTTCAAAAGTTGAATTTGGAAACATGTACACAGCCATTTCTAGCCATGGTACTAGTTAACATTTATACAACACTTTAGTATATTCAAAGCACTTCACATACATTCTCATCTCCAAGTCTTTACACAAATCTAAGGCAAATCATTATCATTTCCATATTTCACCATGAGAGAGTAGCTTGCCTATAGTTCTCTAGTATGCTGGTGGTAGACAAGAGTCTCTCAGTCTCCAAGGTACACTGTTCAGACACAAACATTCAATGGCAACAAGAAGAAACACTGTTGCAGGCCACAGCACAGCACAGCAATACATACACAAACCTATGAGATCAATAGGCTTAAAGGTAAAGGTTTCCCCTTGACATTAAGTCCTGTCATGCCTGACTCTAGGGGGTGGTGTTCATCTCCATTTCCTAGCCGAGGGAGCCAGAGTTTGTCCGCAGACAGTCTCCGTGGTCATGTGGCCGGCATGACTAAACACTGAAGTGCACGGAACGTTGTTACCTGCCACCGAAGTGGTTCCTTTTTATCTACTTCCATTTGCATGCTTTCGAACTGCAAGGTTGGCAGGAGCTGGGACGGAGCAACGGGAACTCACCCCGTTGTGCAAATTTGAACCG